AGGAAATGAACTGCAAAATGATTTACTGCTCTTTTAGGGGGGTCATCTAGCTTGCTTATTTTTTTGTGGCAAATGTTGTTTGCTTTTTCTCTGTGTGATTCCTATTGAATGTGATGCAAGTATTCAGAATATTACAGGGACACATTTTCTGGTACAAAAATGACCTATGGGTGTCACTGTTTTTCCTTCATTTTCAGATTAAACTTCTGGTGAAAAATATCTTCTCTGGTGAAATCTATTTACTTTTGCTGTGCTTTGTTTCTATCCACTATCTGATTTCATGCCTTTTCTCAGCTCAACTTGTTTTAGCCCAGGCTTATTTACACTGCCATGGTGGAGGGACTGAGATATTTCTTTCTTGTTTGCTTTTCTGCTTTCTTGCTTGCTTCATTCATCATACCTTATTTACTATATCTGTTCAAATCAGGTCTTTGTGTTTTCTCCTAGCTTGAAGATAACAGTTCCCATTGTCAAGTCACACTGGTCCAGCTTATACTGGGCAGAGGTGGTGTGTAGAGCAGCTGCAGATCTCCCTCTGCTGGTATCAGCTGGCTCAAATGGGCAAAACCTCCAGCTCCTTAAACCTTTGTCTTGTTTGGCTGTATGTCTTCATCTTGAACACTGAAATCAGAATATCTTGCTGTTCTGAAAGCTGGGTTCTGTGTTTTGGTGAGTTGAGCTTATTCGTGCAATCAATAGTTCATTTCTAAAGAAAAGCTGGATTTCCAAAATATGCACTTAGGAACTGCACTGTGACTGCCCTCACGGCCAAATACTCCACCCAGAAAACCTCAGAAAGCTGCAGGGCAGTTATACCCCACTGCAGTTTTCCTGTGCCAGCTCTACTACTTTTGGGGATTTTTGCTGGTTTCTTACTTGTTTTATCTCTGCTTTGTTCTGGGAGTTCTCCTGAGGTTCAGAGTTAATGTACCAATGCAAAGTCACACAAAACAATTTCTTTTTTTTGTTGACTTTTTCTAGCTCTTTATGTTTTAGCTTTTGTGTGGCCTGGCTTACAGCCACCAACAACACATTCTTCACCATGATCTGAAACCCCAGAACCTGCTCATCAGTTGTCTTGTGAGCTCAAATTAGCTGAATTTGGTGAGTCACAGTTTAGATACTGCTAATATAGCTGCTCAGACTGAAGCTTTAGCATGCATACAGATCTGTATCCACATCCCAATAAGTCATAGAAGCATAGCCTCTTACTGAACTTCAGGAAACTATTTCTGTGGTCAGTCCAGCCTTTCTTGCATTTATACTGATATGTGCAGGGAGTAACCTCATTTAAGTTACAGCAATTAATGCCACATATAACTGGTTCAAGAGGATAGAGAATCAATCTCTCTCTGCTCAGAAAATAATGTAACATGCAGAGTCCAAGGTGAGGTGCTGAACCAAGAGGCTTTATTTGCATTGGTTTGGGACAGCTGCTTCAGGCACAAATGGTGAAGCCCTGCAAAACACAGGATATTGCTTGATCTCATCTGCCCCAGATGTATATTCCAGACATTCTTTGTCAATTGCTTGTAAACTGCATTGAGCTTGCTTGTGTTTAAAGATTAGAGACAAGGTAATGTCCTTTTTCCAGTTATTATCATCTATATGTTGCATGGGTAGAAGGACTGCCAGAACAGAGCAGCCTTTTTTTTTCCTTCCTTCTCAAAGAACATGTCTCAGATGCACTCTACATTTCATATAGAAAGACTCTGTTCTGTTAAAGCCTTGTTACCTTATCAGCTCTATCTCTGCACCAGCCTGAGCCCACTTCCAGCAACAGTTCTGCCTTACTCAAGGACAACATGCAGCTCACGAAGTTGCAGGAGACCACCCTCATTCTGGGCAATTTTACATCTGTATACAGTATTGCTGCCTTTCTTCAGACCAGTTGATTTTCTGTATGTGCCTGTCACACCAAGACTTCACATAACTGCTATGCAGAGTCAAAGGCTGGGAAAGGGAAGGAATGCAGGAGGCTGAAGAATGTGCAAAAAGAGGGCTGGCTAAGTTTACAAACAGCAAAACTACAGGTCTTCTCTGGCTGCATTCACCTCTCAAGGTCTGCAGTTTATTGGAGACTCTGATGGCCTGGAGGGCAGTTTGGGGAAATAGTAGTTTTTAGTTTTTTCACTTCCCTAGGCCTGCTGCTAATTTAATTGCTAAAGATTTCTCCAAGGAGGAAAACCTTGCCAAATTCTAATGGCTTCCAGCTGCTAAGCCAGTCTAAATAGTCCTGTTTTCTCTCCCCCACTACCTGTCACCTCTCCCTTCCAGACAGTCTCTCAGGAATGTCTGCTGAGTTTGAAGAAGATGCCTGCCTAGCAGATTGGAGGGTTTGTATTAGGCAGATGCTGGTATAACCCTGTTTGTTTTTATCCTGAAAGCTGACCCCTGTCTAAAGCCCTGGCTATGCACAGAAAGCCTGGCCTTTCTGCCTGTGAAAAATCAACATGCCCACTACATAACTCTGCTCTGGTGGAGCAGCAATATAGAAGTGCTAGACAAAGATCCCATCCAGCACTCTGAGCAGCTGTAACTGCACAGTCCTCTCAGTCCCACTGAACTACATTCACACTATAGACACCTTTGTTACTACGCCTCCTTATAATAACAACAACAAAGTGTTTGCCCTACAGAAAGATGCCATGCTGAGAGAATAGAGAGTACTTCAGTGAGCTCTATTCAGCAACTTCCTCTAACAAGAGTCATTTATTATCTTGATGTACACTGCATTTAAGCTCAATTTTTGTCTATCAGGAAATAATGTGAATTCACACAGATGTTACTTGTCTATAGCAAAGTAAGGAAAAAAAACCCAATGTCTTTTGGATGCTGCAATTTACATGAAGGCAGGTCAGAATGCCCTTGGTAATGGCATGAGACAGTGGGTGTTAAAGCCTTGGTTTAAAGAAGCCAATTACAACAAAATAAAACATTCTAGCAATTCATGCATAGTGTGCTTGAGCAGCAATACTGTCAGTGGGAGGCACATGGGGAAGTGAATGAAGCCTTGAATAGATGAAAAAAGAGATATAGAAGGAGACTCACTCATTCTTGGACTAACTAGAAAAGCTGCTTTAATCTCTGTATCTTTTTTCTCTTTCTCCCTCACTATCTCTTCCAGACTTTAGAAGATTCAATTAAGGGATTTCAGGCAGACTAAAATTTCAGGGAGATTACACTACATATCAGAAAGACTCTTTTTTTAAAAAAAAAAACCAACAAGGGGTTTATGCTCATACCATGCTAGTAGCTGCTAACATCATGAGTACCTTAAATCATGTCTCCTTTTCAGTCAAGCTTTCCTTGTATAATCTTAATTTAAATAAATAAATAAATGAACCACTGGAATCTTCCCAGGTAGATTAATGTAGAATAGGAGTTCCCATGCCATCTTTTCACATAGACCTGCCCGGGCCTCTACAACCTTCTTCCCTGCATGGGTCACATTGCTCCTCTATGCCAAACTGGGAGAATAGGCTAAAGGTTCCACTGTACAGACCACACTTGGTGAAGAAAAAGAGAAAGGATATATTTCTGGCTAAATATAAAACTGCAGTCTCCCAATGCCAGAAAAAAAATGTGGAGAGGGAACTCTGGGATGCTGCAGATATATCTTAGATCTTAATCCTGATGAAGTCATCTCTCCACTGTGTGATGCAGCACTGCAGGCTGAAGAATAAGTGCTGTGTTCAAACCTGCCCCAGGGATTGCAGGCAGATGCAACCCTGCTGACTGAAACAGCTCTGTTCATGCTTACTAACTATCCCTATAACCAGTTATACCTCTCCTATTACTTTAGAAGCTGCTGTCTTGATTCACATGTATATCTGGCACATGCTGAAACATCATGTCCAGGCCTCTTTCCAGAAGACCCCTCCCTTTGCCCTAGCTCTTCCTAAGACAACTAGATGGGACTGAGACCCTCTGAGAGACTTGTAGACTTGAAGGGGTAAGAGCACCTCTGAAATGAGCAGCAGAGGGGTAAGAAGGAAAAGAGGAAAAACAAAGCAAAACTAGGTCTAAATCTTTAGCAATATATAAAAGTGAATGTTTTTTTAATAATTCTTTTCAACAGAAGGATCCTCATAGTGCTGTCAGGGCAGTAACTGTAAATCCTGTACCAGAAGGAAATTGAGGCCTCTACTGAAAGGGTAATGTGATGTTCAGCACTAGTTTCCAAAGTCCTGCTTTAACAGATAGACAAAAATACCTGGGAAAAGTGGGGGTGTTCATCAGTTATTCTAGGTACTTCTGGCCTTTTTTTTGTAAAGAAACATATATTTTGTCTGGAAACATAGACAGAACAGTCATAATTACCACTGGTCAGTCAAGGAAGCATTAAAGGCAGCTGGTCAGCTGCGTCTCACTACAGGAAACGAAAAGGCCTTGTGGTTGCTCTGATAGTTTTGTCTTTATTAGAGACACTGAGGTTTAAAGACTTCCAGAGACAATGGGAATAAACCAGGCACACAAAAGAGAGCTCTACCAGAAGGTGCATTTGGAACAACCCACCAGTTGTTCCTCTCCTCAAACTGACAGCCTGCCAAGTAGTGGAAAGACTCCCATTAGATTTGAATTTTGTATCTCTTTGCTCAGGATAAATTATTAACAAACTCTAGCTAAATTTAGGGAAAATCACATCTTTCTAGTTCTTACTTCCAGTTATTGTGCTGTCTGGAGCCTTCTCAGCAATAACAGAACCATAGCAGATCTGGTTTTCTGTCTGCCATGAACTCTGTTCCCTTAGACCTTTGCAGCAGAGCAGTTAGGTCACTACGACCACATTTATACAGCACTTTCACTATTAGTAGCCCCTCTTCCTTAGTAACTGCTGTGTACCTCCAGCTGTGTCCCCAAATCCTCATTGTCTTAAATTCAATTTAGGAAACAGCACAGGCAGCACTGCTCATTGAAAAGGATTGCTGTAGAAGGTCTAGTTGCACCTATCTCATTTGGGGGCTGTAGTGAGTTTGTGCTGTTGCCAGACTAATGGTCATTCCTAGCTATCATATCAGAACCCAAACTGTGGGTGAATATCAAGATCATTTGCTCCAAAAGCCCATAGAGCTGATTCTCTTCTACAAATCAAGAGCACCTAAATTGCTTTCAACAATTACAGTTAAACTTGTGCAATGGAATCAGTGGATTACAGCAGCCCCTGTGATTGCAAAATAGACTGAGCCATTTGGGGTGCACATCAGCTGTGAAAACAAAGGGTTGGTATGACACCAGTCTCAGTAGAATCAGTCTGCGGGCTCCAAAATAATAGCTAGTGATGCGGCAGTGCTATGAAACACAAAATAAATCTGTGTTGCAAAAGCTGTGGGTTAAGTCTCCTTGCACCTGGACCCTGTAAGAGCATATTAGACAAGTAAGGAGCTAAGCTCACAAGACCCAAGGTTAGGGTACTGAAACCTAAGGGAAAGTTCAGCAGAGATGTTTGTGAAAACAGCATTAGATATGGATCTGCAAACAGGCTTGGCATCCCCTGAAGCCAAGAATGACCAAAATTAATACCGCAGATGAGTTGCATGTGAGGCCTTCACCTGACCACAGTCAGGTGGGAAAAGAATCTACAGTATTGAAAAACAAGATGTAAGGGTAACACAGCAGTACAGATGTCCAGAAGAGATTACTAGCTGTAGCTCAGCAAGTGAAAATAATACTTTTAGAGTCTGTTAGACAAAGATGGAATTTCAACATTTGAGGTCAAATCACTCCAATTTGCTATAACCAAAGAAGACTGAGAATGAAACCTGAAAAGTTGGGATGGGACTTAGTGAAAAGACAGGAAACCTAGAGATAGTTTGGAGGATAAAGATTTTAAAGTAAGTGAGCAGAGTTTACACCATACAATAAGAGATGGGAATAGCTGCAAATAGATAAGTCTATCTCATCATTATTGCCAGTGGGACTAATCCACTTTAGTAAAATTACGCATTTTTTGCAGCGTTTGGTGTTTGGTTTTTTTTAAGCTGGCTGGTTTGCTTTGGCACAAGTGCAAAGCAGAGTATGGCATAAAAATAAAAACAGTTTTACTTGCTGTCATCACTATGTTCTTTATGTTATGAAATCTTGCCTTCAGTTTTCCAATGAAGAGCTAATTGCTTCTGAAGGAAAAACAGCTCCAGCGGTTAATGCCTCTGGGTTCCTTCTGTGTCTACTGCATCCTTCAAGCCAATGTACTGTGTAGTAATTCCCTGAATATTTTTCCTATTGTTATCACTCCAATTTTACATCTTTTTCTCACAGAAAACAATCTAGTATTCCACAGGCTTCTGCCACAACCATCTTTTTTTATATGGTTGGTAACAGGATGAATTGAAAGAGACCTGAAACAAATTGTTTGGTGCTGGAAAAAAAGGATAGTGCTTAGTGGGTTTCTTTTCCAAAGGTATCACATGTCTTGTTTTGCTGGTGAAGGGTGAGGGCTTTTTTAGAGGATGGTGCTGATGAGAAAAAGGAGATGGGAACAGACTTTTATGGAATTTTGACTGCTTTGTCATTTTCTGAAATCATGGAGGGATATGAATGTGACGAATCTCCAGTCTGCTCCTATCCTA